GAAAACCGTTTGGATTTCGGTGGAATATCGCCTCGGACCAGAGCATCCATTCCCTATTTGGTGGAACGATGCTTGTGAAATAACTCAATATATTCTGGAAAACAAACAGTCTTATGGTTATATTGTTCTTCATACGTTTGTATTTAAAGTTCTATCTTCAATTTTGATTTCTTAGGTGTTGACCCATCGGCCAAGGTGGGCTTGGCTGGTGATAGTGCTGGTGGCGCGTTAAGTGCAACAATTTGTCGAGCACTGAAAAATATTGATTTCCAGGTTTTTATCACATATGTAGATTCTTTCTTTCTCTCCGTTGTACAATGACAGATGTTAATATCAACAGAACAGGATCTTAATATGTATCTCGAGCGTCTAAATCGTCATAGACATGTTTACTTGGTTTCAGGATTTTGAGTCAGGGAATATAAATAGCATGCAATAGTTTATGTATTTATTTAAATATTCATTTTAACATATTAATCCCGCGCTACAGAAAAGAAACAGATCGCTATTGCTATTGTAGTCTGGTAGGCATATTTGCAGGAGAAGGGATTCATTTTTCTCGCTATATACTTCAGCACTCATTAATGATTATGTTTCATAAAAGATATACAATATAAGTTCTTTTTGTTCACGATGAATAGATCCTAATCTATGGTATTTATGATCTAAGACGGACAACACCTTCGTTCAAAGAATTCGTTCATCCGATGTACTTTCTCACACCGGAAATGATGGACTGGTAAAGAACTTATCCCTTTACTCATACTTATTCATAACACTCTTACAGGATGACGTCATCAGCGTTTGCTAATACGGAAGATTTGACTGATCCTCGTGCTTCCGTGTTGTTCAATTCATCTTTCGAAGGTTTACCACCGTGTTTGTTCATCGTTGCTGAACTCGATCCATTGCGAGACGAAAGTTACGGTACAGAATACGAGTAACATGAAAATGTATAAAGCTAATCTCATTGTCTGACTTTCAGCATATCAAAAGGTACTTGATCAAGCTGATGTTAAGACCAAACTAGTCCTAATCAAGGGCGTTATTCACGGATTTGTCTCAGTTCCAGGTAGGACAAAAATAAACGTCGCTGGTTTTTCGTTCAATGTCTTTTATGATTGTTGTAGGAATTTTTCCCAGAGCATGTGCTGAAGTGACCAACGCTATAGAAGAATTCATGGCTTCATTATGAAACGTTAGCATTAACAACAGCGAACCACATTGACAGATTTACTGTTCTTGTAACAGTGAAATTATTTGATTATCAATAAAAGAATACTAGAAACTTTTTTCTGTGGCAATGACGATTATCCAACATCTTTCATGAAAATATTTATTTTAGAGTTTCACCTTTTTTTTTCATGAAGCTTTTTCGGCAATGGTGTGGTTGTAGTTTTGAGGTGCAAGTCACTTCTAAAGAATAGGCGCACACCCAGTGCCTTTGTGGTACCTTCATTGAGACAAATGCCATGCTGATTGAAAACATCAAACTTAAAACCCAACTTTTCCAGTTTCAATTTTTTGTTCAACTAAATTCAAACTTTCAGTTTGACCATATACCGAGTGTTCATTTTTGTTCGATATTTATTCGAATTTCAGTCTTTATTACGACGTTTGGATCTTTTATTATTGTCTTGCAATCATTTTTCGACACATTACAAAACGATCTAATACTTGAGGGTGTGGGTGTGGGTGCGGGTGTGTGCATGAATCTTCTCTACATTTACATCCACACCCACACACACACGCCCTCTTTTTGAAGAAAATTCAAGATTTCACCATTTGTGTATACAAAGATATATACAAAGTGAACTGTGTTGATGACATTTTTGAGACATTTAATATAAATTCACAACAATATTTGTAAATTTTCCTCAAATATCAAATCTCTACAAGCAATCTTCTTCATTTTTAGACGAAGCTCGAGCCTTCATAACTCTAACGGCTCCGCCGCTTATGGTGCTTGGTATTAAAAATAGCTCATTTGAGCAAAATAGGCTTTATCAAAAACAAATTTTTGAAAACTTAAGATGCTTTAAGATGAGTGTTAGCCGAAGCCAAACCTTTCTAGATGTAAGAGGAGTTGAAAAGCTGCGATTTTTATTTCAATAGGCGACCCCTATTACAATTTACCTTTTCGTTTGCTGTTCTGCAAAGAACCAACAAAAACAGAGCAAGAAATTTACGTGTTTATATTTATTTTTGTTTCACGTGATTTTGCTCTTGTGACGCATACCTCTAATAGTAACAGAAAGAATGAAAAAAAAAAAATATAAAACACTAAATTCTTGTTTATAAGCCGCAAAAAGTATATCTTTTCTAGTAAATTATTTTAATTTTCATTGGTTTTAATACCTAATGTAACGAAGAAGAAGAAGATCTGATGATATAAATATTTTATTATTAGGATAAACAGGTGCCGGCAAGAATACAATTACACGTAAATGTATTTGTAAATTATTTATTTTTTTAATAATAATCTAGATAGCACTATGAATGTTTCTATGAAAGTACTCAAATGAACGTGGTTTGCTTTTTGTTCTATAGATCAAAATACATTTGAAACAGCAAATAAAAATATTGATAAAAACCATGACAAAGAAAAACATAATGGAATCTCGGTGAGTCACATACACAATTACGTCAAACTTTTGTATTAACTATTAATCATCGATATTTACATTTAAGCAGTGCATTAGCATTCGGTGATTAACATGAACTAGAAATACATGCAAAAAAATTTCGACAAATATTATTGTGTATATTGATCTATCTGAACATATTAATGGTATCTGTTTTCTGTACAAAGCAAATGAACAATGTTTATCAATTATATTTCATTTTCGTATTACAAAAATTACTTTGTTATCTAAATATTAGTGCCGGTGAAAATCGTATGATTATTTTTTTTTTTTTTACAAATGTTATCTACATACCCATTACAAAAAACACAATACATTTTTAATTCGATCATGAATTACTTTATTTCTTAGCTGCATATGAAAATAATAATATTGTATTTTCATTCCAGCAATTTGAAGAATTTAAACAAATAATACTTTATTATAAAAATGAAGCTGGAAAATTAATTCGATTCATATCAGAAATCGCTTTCTTAACTGAAAAAAAATACCCGAGTTAATAGTACGAAAAGATGCTGAAAGGATACCATTGAATCATCCAAGAATACGTTGTATAAGTGATAAAAATACTCAAGTTATTATTCTTAACAACCTAAATATCATAACTCTGTGACACAACGAACAAGATACAGGTATCATTTTTTTGAAACAATTTTGTTTCGTAGAGATGTAAGCTCATCGGTTGAGCGTTGAAAATTTCATGAAACGATATTATCTCTAAAAGCCACTTGACAAAGTTTTCTTGTCTTATATTATCATATTTTAACAATCGAGAATAATATTCTAATCAGTTCAATCGTAATATTTTGTTTTCTAACGAAATTTATTTTCAATAGCTTTCTCGAACAAATCTTGACATCGTCATTAATGATTTCTTTTGTTGTACTATTGTTTGTTAAGATTTTTATTCAATATCATAAGCAGAGAATGATTTAAAGATAATCAAGTTTATCAAAGAAAAGAGCATAATTACTACGTTCTTTAAAGTATATGCGAACAAATACTACTTGTTAATATAGAATGCACAAGCGTTCTAGTATATCAATACTTAAAATTAGACTAGTTAACCTACTTGATGCCCTCATTGAAAATGTTTTCACAGATTAGAAAATATCAGTAAGAGATAGAATCGATGCGGTCACACATATCCGAACTAATCTACCATCTCTGATGCCTATGACATATAGGTAACAACATATCTTCAATTCAGTATATTCGGGATCTTGAACGCTGCGTACAAAATAAAAAGCTCGTATTTGTAACCCGTAAGATCATAATGGTTCGAATAGAGAGAAAGCTCAAATGAGTATAGTTGAGGGTGAGTGTTGTATATGACAAATTTGACAACAAACATGCTGTTATATTTACAGGCGTATACACTGTTTGCAGCTGTTATTGGCGTAAGCATATACTTATTCAATTTATATATCGTAAATCTTTCACTTGTGATATAATAAGAAATAGTAAAACGAAAAATATTGTACTTGCTGCAATCAAAACACATATGCTAAACTTATATAGTGAACTATTCAAATTTCTCCATAAAAATACCAATACTCCAATCAATGATGATTTAATTAATCATTTTATTCAACAAAGACAAGAAGCAAGACATATTTTAAATAAACATTAAATAATTAAAAAATATCAACATCTTCAATAAATAATTTAGATAGTAGTAAGAGCCGAGAAGAATAAAATATTTGGAAATAACTTTATTATGTTACAACTAAAAGAATTTTTTCATTAAGAAAATTCTTCAATTGGTTGATTTAAGTGAAATCTTTTTTATCTAAATTTTAATCATTTTTTCTTTAATAAATTGTGTACTTAATTCTTTTATTCTTTTTTCAGATGTATATATTTTCTAGGATGTGGCATCAATTTATCATTATAAAAATATTTTGTGTATTAAGTTAAATTCTTCATTTAAACTAGAATATGTTCTATCATGAGTTATTTTTGTTTCATTATTTGAATGTGGATGAAAAGAAGTTCTGCATCCACGTCCAATATCTATTCATTGTCAATTATATTACTATGTTGATATCAATTACTGAAGTTAACGTAAAGGTGAGATTATGAAAGTCATTTATTATACCACTAACAAAGCTACTGAATATGTTCTATGAATTGATCTTAAGTTCTATTGAAAATGTTGTACATCTGTACGGCCTATGATCAATTCTGCGTTGAATGCTTGCTTGTTTGTAAATGAGAAAGTATTTTATTTTCATTGATATTTTTACATATTTTCTTTGAAAATCTTGAATCTCATATATAAAAATTTCCAAATTTTCTTTTTGTAGATTGCTAAATCAAAGCATTTCATTACGAGTAAAAAAAAGTCAGTATATGAACGAAACTTCGCGCAGTCAATCAAGTTTGAACTTGTTTAAAACTGAAGATGGATATCCAATCGAACGAAAAGTAATCGATATTGTTGGTCGAATAGGCTCACTTTATGATGCTTCAACAGATAACTTAATTGATCGACATTCTATTCAAAAAATTGAAAGAAAAGCACCAAGTAAACGTTCTATATGTCGACTGTTTTCAGGTGATCAATCAAAAGACCTTATTAGTTTTCTTAAAGATATCGATTTTGACGATGCAATTCGACAAAGTATATGTCTTCAAATGGTTACACCAAAAGGCATTTGCCGTCTTATTGAATATAATCAACCTGTTGATGAAAACACTCGTTTTCTATATTATTCTTACAGAACTCGAAAAGAATGGTTAGAGGTGACAGCGCATCAAACAAATAAAATCGTTGCAGCACCATCAACTCCAACTGAAGCAACTCATATGATAACAAAAATCTTATGGGGTTTTGAAGTTCTATGTATAATACAAATTCCAAAAAATCAATCTATCAATCTAATCGATCAATTTCTTCAACATATTTGTGATCGACTTCAAAATAATCGGATCCCAGTTAAACTTAACAGTACTGATCAACAGCTCATCAATCAATTAAATAATACTGTTGTATATGGATCTGAAACATGTGTTAATCAACCGAATACATCATTATTAACAATTCTCAATAAGATACAAGATTGGCAAAATGATTCAAATGTTCATCAACCACTTATCTACACGATGCAACCATTAAGATGGCTTTACAATAATCCACAATTTGATATACCATGTACTTTTCCTAAACCAGATAATCCACATATTGCACGAATTGAAAATGTTATTAATCGAATAAATTATCAAATAAAAGATCTTAGAGAAATATTTCAAAATCTACCAACAAATTTTTCTAGTGCAATACTTAATCAACGTTTAAATAATCTTCAACAACAATATCGTTTTCTTTTGAATTCACAAGATAATTTTCAAGAACATCTTAGACATGCACTTGCAGATATTCGTCGACATCGTATTGAACCAACAACGCTGGATGATATTATTAGTGATCAACGTTATGAATGTTTACGTAAAATTGAATTAGATAAATTTCTTACTCGTGTTCAACAATTATTAAGTAAATCGATATTAATCGAAAACTTAAACAATAATCATATTGAATATATTACAGTGGCCGATGTTCATTCTAATGAAAAAATACCAACAATGATTGATGATATTGATACCATACTTAAACATACATATTCCAATGAGAATGATTCTGTCATTCTTTGGTATTCGAGTGATCGTTTAAAACGTGAAGAAGAAGATAAATATCAACAAATATATCAAGAATTAACTTGGGAACAACAACATGTAGAACAACGAATAAAATTAATCTATGTTGATTTTACCTATTTCAAAGATAAATTAGAAGATTTTATCATTGTAAGATTACCATTAACAGAGCCATCAATAACTGAGCATGATCCTAAGAGAGGTAAGGAATCACGTTCGAAATAAAATAGTACATTTTTTCGTTAGTTTCATAGATGACATTCTACTTTTTTCTTTTGAGGAAAGTCGAGTGGCTTAAACTAATCCTATTAGTAATCATACTGAATATACCAGAGATGTGTGGGGCGGCTAAAAAAAGCGCCCCATTATTACCGCACTACCATGCGGCTCTACATCGCCCATCCCGCCCCGTCTGCCAGCAACGTATTTTTACGGATCATAATATTGTAGTCACCTCTCATACTTTTTTGTTTCATCACATGATATTACATAATTCCAATTCATATAAATAAGGAGCACAGTTCCCTGAAGTTCAGTGAATATTATAGCTAAAAATATAGAATATTCACGATACTTTTTGCTCTGACACTCATTTTCACTCGGGAAGCTATGAAAGAAATAATTACATGCACAAACTGTTTAAAAAAAAAGTATTACCATGACTTTCATCAATCGTGTGACTGTAAGGCAACCAATGGTCGATTCCAATTTCCCTTAGACTTATAATAGCGGGACTGACCATTCCTCAATAGATGAAGAATTTCTATTTTCCAGTCCTTGTACACTGCTGTCTCCCGCGCGAAAACTAAACACTTCTCCGAAGTTCGGGATACGTGACAGTACTCTCTAAAAAAAAATATAGTAGTTCCAATACACGGGGAAACTGCAAAATCTAGCGGTGCATCACCACCGCTCCGCAAAATACAGATTTCACTCCGCTGCGGTGCGGTACGATGTCGCACCGCGCCTCACTCATCTCTGGAATGTACGGTATGTACAAAAATATACTCAACATGTTAGCTAACGAATTTTCTGAATAGTATCATTCCATAATTTGTGATAGAGATGTTCGAACACAGTGATCATCGTGTATGTGTCAAATAACTTAACTAATTAAACATAGACACTCAAAATAAAATCAAATTGTATGAAAAAAAAAAACAAATATTTCTATTTAGACACAGTACATCTGTTACCATTTACTGATACAGATCGATCATCTTCAAAGCAACAACGATCGAAATCATCATCTCCACCACCTCCTAAACTACCACCTCGATCATCACCTACACTATCAAAACCTCCACCTGTACCTCCAAGAGAATCATCTCCAATACCACAACCAACCGAAATTAATGTATTACTCTTGGGAGAAATAGGTGTTGGAAAATCAACATTCATTAATGCATTTATTAATTACTTAAAATTTGAAAGTCTTCAACAAGCTGAACAAGATGAATCAGTTGTTTTAATTCCAGTTTCATTTCTCATTACTGTTGGTGATCGATTAGATAAATTTAGTGTCAAATTAGGTAATACTGATTCGAATGAGAATCATGAGCAACAAGGTCAATCAGTTACACAAAAATGCAAATCATATATATTCGATTTGAATAATAGACTACGTTTACGATTCATTGATACCCCTGGTATTGGTGATATACGAGGAATGAATCAAGATATAAAAACTTTTGATCACATATTGACTTATATAACTAATTTATCTCATTTAAATGCTATTTGTTTATTTCTGAAACCAAATTCTTCTCAATTGGATGTTTTCTATGATTCATGTCTTAATCAATTATTAACATATTTAACACCACGTGGTTATAATAATATTATGTTCTGTTTTACAAATACTCGACCAACTTCTTTTACATCAGGTGATACTGGTCTATTACTTCGCAAAATGCTTGATGATGAACATCTTAATCGTATTCCATTTAACAAACAAAATACATTCTGTTTTGATAGTGAATCATTTCGATATTTAGTTGCAAAAAAATGTGGTATTCATTTGGATGAATATCAAACACAAGAATGTATTGCTAGTTGGAATACATCAATAAGTGAATCAGTTCGTTTACTTAAATTTATTCAAAGATGCAAATCATATAATCTACAAGATTGGTTATCACCGCGAAAAGCTTGTCTTGATATATTCATGCTTGCTCGACCTCTCATAGAAACATTAAGATTAATAATTTATAATTGGAAATTAAATGAAGCTAAATTAATTGTTAATCATATGATATTAAATTCAAATCCAATCGATATTGACATTTGTACTAATTGTGCACAAATGAATATTGTTGAACTAGGCCCATTTTGGTTAACTCAATATCAACCCCCTATTTTAAATAACAATGTAAATCAACATAGCTATTGTCCTACAAATGGAAAACATTTTTTAATTGAATTCAATGTAACACATGAATTTGTTCCACTACCAGCAGGTCTTAAAAATGAACGATGGCAAAGTTCTTTTCATAATTTTTTATTTAAATGTGATCGACTTGTTCATTTTTTAAGACAACTACAATCAATGTCTCAAGATGATCCATTTCAACTTATACTCGAACGATATCTCGAAGAAGAAGAACAAATTTCTCAGACTCCAAATATAAATTCAAATATGAATAAACCTATACGAGAAGAATTGAATTCTATAAAACAAATACGTGGACAAAATAGTCAAAAATTATTTGAATCAAATGAAAGACTTTCACTTAATCAAGTCTATCAAATAATTCATGAATTAATTGCCATACCAACAGTTCGAAAACAAATAGATAGTATTAATAAAAGTCGTCAATTAAAAATGAAACAACAAGAATGTACAATACTAAAAAACTTTATCAAAAACAAAATCTTTGTTTGATTTATTAATTCTCATCAATGATTTTTTTTATGAAGCTTATGAACTATTTTGAATAAAAATAATCAATCTTTCATTCTTAATCAAATTTAAATATTTTAATTTTGTTTCAAACAATTCCATACCCTCATACCCAAAAGATAACATGTAGTCTTAGCAAAGCATTAGTCATTTGCATAGGACAAGAGAAAACTGCTTATCGTGTATATGTCCTTTTGGTTTATTGTCGTATAACAAAACTCGATGTATTTGCACAAGGTACACTTAAAAGGTCATTGTCGTTCTCTCTGAAAAACGATGATAAGCGATCGATACAGAGAATATTTTATTGACTGTCAAATAGAAGTGCTTTCAAGTTTCGAGTGCCATATTAACATAAATTAAAATACAAATCGTTATTATGAATAATCAGCTTAGTTGAATATTGACCTTGTGTTCTGTTTCTTTTTTTGTGAATGAGAAAAAAAAAACATATTGCTGACACCCCACATAGACTACCATTCATCGATTGCTTGTCGGGATTTATTTCGTTGCAGCTGAAGTAAATCATTGATAATTGATATAGAAAAAGAAACAAGCATTGAGAAATTTTTTTTTTAATTTTGTATATCAGAATACGAAGGAACTATTCCAATAAGATTTGGTTATTTCGTATGTAAGTTCTTATTTATTTTTTGGAAAAAAGGAACATCATAAAAATACTATTCACAAGTTTCTATTTTTTTTTGTAAAACGTGATTGAAAAGGAGTGTTGACCTTGTAGAACGAAAAAATTGGATCTCCTCTCTTCCTCTCACAGACTGTGATACTTTAGGGACAACTCGATCGTGTTTCACATTTTAATGCCATAGAGATAGCGTTGCAAGTTTTTCTACCTTAATGATATATTCGTATTCGATTACTTCTCTATACATAAAATTTATCTGAATAACTATTATTTATATTATTAATGACGATCAGTCAAATGGATATTGTGAACAAGGAAAATACATTTCAAAGACAAAGCGACAATCGAATTATAAACAATGTCAATAGGGTAAGAGAAATGAAATATACTAGAATAGGTAATGATAGGTACTGTTTTATGTTCACAGTGGGTTCAGGAATACAATCGAAAATGTCCAAGTTCTAAAAAGTAATTAGATGTCAAATAATCATTAGTTGATTTGACATATTACCTTTGTTCATTTTTTCTGCAGAATTTATGATTATGGGCAAATTCACTTCTCAGAAAATGATCGAACATCATGGGTACGTACATTTTCATTCTAGAAACACGATCTCTCGGTTGTCGAAGTGTTTAATTGACACCGATTGTGATTGTTTTTTGATATTTATCTTTTTTGTTAAATGAACAAATATATTCCTGTTGTTATATGTAGTATATTCGCTTTCCATTTGATGCTCCCGATGCATTAGACAATAATCAATCCGTATCAATAATAAAATCCGAGATAGATCTTGTCGAATTCATGCGTGAACAATGGGAACTGCCACTTCCTGAACTGATTATATCCGTGACAGGTGGTGCCAAATTCTTTCAATTAACACCACCACGAGTACGCAGAGCTTTTCAAGAAGGTCTTGTCTCAGCTGCCGTAACTACGGGTGAGTGAAAGAAGAAGAAAACAGCTATATAGCTCTCTTGAGTGTGTACAATTGTGATTTAGATGCATGGGTGTTCACAGGAGGATCATATTCAGGAGTAATGAAAGAGATTGGTGATGCATTTGAAAAATCGACGTATAAGGCGAACAAGAAACACGCACGGGTACCAGTCATTGCTATTGCAAGCTGGAATTTCGCTACAGGTTATTTGCATGAATACTGCTAATAATTATACACTATGTGTTGTCTATGATATATTAGACCATGAACAATTGATTCAACAACTATCACAAATGGATAATAACGGCAGTGTGCGTTCATTTTTGTTTGCTTATCTTTGTCTTCTAATGAGATATGATTATTTACTAGGAGGTGCTAGTAAACATGTCTAATCAAGTAGAAAACTATGAAAGACTCTATCGCATTCGTTTTCCGACTGAAGACGAACCTAACTCATGCCCGTTGGATCCAAATCATACTCATTTTATTCTTCTTGATGATATGTATGGTTCGGATGATGACCAATGGAGAGAAAAGAATTATCTTGTTCGAGCAAATCTTGGCATTCAACTAGGCTTCCGAATCAAACAGGAAGCTCGTCGTATTTGGAACCTTGGAAAATGTAAATAAAATTAGTGTATCTGTTATTTCTTGAATTCTATTTAACAGGCTACAAAATTCCAATCGTTGAAGTGTTAGTGGATGGTGGCCCATCGTCTCTTTTGTGCGTATGTGAAGCAGTCAGACATGGAACACCAGTAATTGTCATTCAAGTACATGATATCAAAAGATAGAATAAACTTGTCGTTTTTAACTCCTTCTTTCTCTTGTAGAACACAGGTCGAGCAGCCGATCTCATTACCGATACATATTATGCATTGTACAAAGATCGGATAAACTTCATTCAACCATCACACGATTATTCTGAGCTGTAATCATAATTATGTTTCCGATTTTTTAAAAAGTATACCTTTCGTTCATAGAGAAAATCTGATAGACAAAGCAAAAATGGAATTTCTCATCACCGAAACGAATGAAAAACTTTTTCTAGACATAATAACATCGAAAAAAGGATTCTTTTTGATCAATATTATATCATTACATGTCGACGATACTCAATTCAAATTAGGTGATGCCATACTTCAAGCACTATTTCGTGGTATGCATTTCTGTTTGATTATATTCAGTTTAAAACTCTTTTTATTATTCAGAAGCAACCATGGACGAATCAGAAATATCTGATGTTCATGTACAAAAACTCAAACTAGCCATGGCCTGGAAGAGATTTGATTTGGTGTTTTCTGACATTCTTAACAAAAATAGAAAAATCCAATGGACAGTAAGATATAAATATATTAATTCAACTATTGTTTCTTTTTTTTTATCTAAAACAATTTAAACAAGGATTCTCAATTGGATAGTGCTCTGAGTGATGCACTTCGACATGAGTCTGTTCAATTTGTCGAACTTCTAGTTGAACAAGGTGCTTCATTTGATCGTCTGCGTCGAATAATTAAGATTGATGACTTATATAAAACAGTAAGCAAATCGTTTACATTTAGAAGGAATTTACAAGTGTAATATTTTATAGAAAAATGGCTTACCATTGTCACGAAAAAGAAAAGCCATACTTTGTGATAGACAACGTGCGTATTATGAAGAATATTTAAACATAGAAGCATCGAGAATAACATCTCATACAAGTAAATCGTAGAACAAAAGCCGAAAGTATCAAGTTTTTATTCTCAAAATTCTAGGCACTACTTACGGTTCCATCGTTGGTTGTTGTCACGAAGATATTACTCTGAATGGCAAGGTTGTTTTTAACCAGAACGATGCTGTTCGTTATAATGGCTATGTTAACCAAATCATAATTGGATTTTCACAAACACACAGCGTGTTTGAATCATCTTACAGTATTGATCTTTATATAATTTCTCCGACTATGCAATCGGGCTCTTTTCAAATCCTTGATCGTCGTCAAATAAATAGAGAAAATACTAAAACAAACACGAATGAATTCAAATTTGATCTACCTGATTCGACAATATACCTTGAGTCAGGACAATATTTAGCCGTTGGTTTCAAAGAAAATAGTTCTGTCATACCAAAATGTTTTGTTGGATATCATTCTTATTATTCATTTAATCTCGATGTAGTCAATAAAGCCTATTCGGACAATAAGACTATTGTATTCGACAAATATAATCGACTAAGTGTAGCCATCAGTTTTCAATTGGTTCCAACTTCAGGTAAAACCATTGTTTTGTGAAAAAAATCTTTTTAGAGAAAAATTCATGTCAAGAAAAAGAGTTTAAACATGACGTTTGGATTTCAATATCGAAAGTATTAAAGTCATTCTTTCTAATGAATGAAGACCTTAATATTGAAGATGAAATTCGAAAAGTAATACGTATTTTTAAAGTTTAGAATACATCCGTGATATTTTTCTCTGGTCGGTATTTTTTGCACGCTATAATTTAATCGTCTGTTTATGCTCACATAGTCCAGTAATATACCTTGTATTGTTAAACAAATCTGTGGAATTATTTCTCGAAATAGAATACGACTGTTGCTGCTCTTTTGACCAGTAAAGCTTATCAAACAGCAATTCAATTGTGCAATGATCCAGAGCAAAAGAAAGAATACACCCGAAAAGAGAAGTCAACTGAATTATATATATATATATATGTCAAAACACGATTAATTATGTGTTTCAGAGCATTCGATCTACATGCAGCTCGAATAATTGATAAATGTTTTAATCTAAATGAACAATTCGCTCTTCAACTGTTGACAACACAATCAAAATTGTATTTCGGTTACTCACCTCTAACATTGGCTACAGAAGCCAATAGTCGATCATTTCTAGCTAGTAAATGTGTGCAGAAACATCTTGATCGACTTTGGTATGGAAATATTAATCAGCATGCCTATAACAATATCTACATTAATATTAATTTAATGGTACGTGATATAGAATTCAATAGATGTTTTCATATGCAACATTGTAGATGTTTCTTTTGTGCATTTTTCCTTTTCTCATACCTTGTTCCTGCTTTCAAACAGTACTCAAATCACCAACTAAAAAAGAACTGTAAGTTTGTAAAGAAAATCATCTTTTTGAAATTCTTCTTCGATGATTTATAGGATCATATACGAGAGGAAAAGAAGCAAATGTCCTGGATTATTTATCTTTAATCGATTGAGAAATTTCTATCATGGAAGAGCCATTGTCAGATTTTACTATAACATTGTATGAACAACAATCTCTTTGAAAATATAGATCAATATTATGTATACTATTGCAGATATTTTATGTCATATTTCTTGGTCTATTCAGTTTTATCATGCTTGTCAACTATTTTCCATTGAACAACAATGGTGGAAAACGAAATGGATTGTCAATAGGTATTCCCGTTACGGAAATCGTTCTTCATTTATGTCAATGGAGCTTAATTATCGAAGAGATTCGTGAGGTATTTCGTCTGTTTTTTTTTCCTTAATGAAATGGATACAAGATTAGAACAATGTCTATCTGTACATAGTTTGAAATCTATCATCAAAAGAAAATAAAGAACAACACGCGCAAACAACACATATTACTATGCTATTTTCTCGAAGATCAATGGAATTTACTCGATTTTATGGCTATTCTCATCTATCTGATTGGTTTTAGTACTCGATTCTTTGTTGTTGAAACAGTCTTTGTCATTTCAAAGTGAGCTTTAGTAAGTCAAGATTTCTTATATTCGATATATGTCTCTTTTAGAATTTGTATGTGCATCGATCTGTTCTTATGGTATGTTCGTATTCTTCATTTATTTGCTGCCTCTGAACGATTTGGACCGAAATTATTAATGATATTTAATACAGTAAGTGGTTCACATTTGTTATCTACCTATACTTATGTAGATTTTTCCTAGATGAAAGATTTAGTTTTCTTCATCTTTTTTATTCTCATTTTTCTTGTTGGTTATTCAATCAGTTCTTATGCATTGATCACCACTAAGGATCAAGTCATTTGGATTTCTACTAATGATAGTTCACCATCGAACATCTATAATCTCTCTCAGGATGGATCGAGTCTTTGGACATGGAGCCTTTTCAGAGATGTTCTCGATTGGGGCATATGGAAAGTATTTGGGCAAGTTGAACTTATCGATCACGCGCAAGTAGGTTCCACATCGAGTATAACAGGTGAGATAATGGTCAAAATCATCAAGGATCACTTATTCTTATTCTTCTTATAGCTACCAATGATGCCTATGGCAATACAGCATTTGTTTTGACCATAATTTTTGTTTGTGTGGCTAGTGTACTTTTACTTAACGTACTCGTAGCTCTATTCAAGTAAATGAATTTGTTTTTTTTTGCTCGCCAAAGACTGTTTATCTTGACTATCATCCAGTGTAACACTAGCAAAAGTCGGACAAAATGCACATGACGCTTGGGCATATCATCGATTTCTGCTCGTTCAAGAATATTCAACAAAGTCTCCACTACCACCACCGATGACTATTCTCTACTATGGATGTAAATCTTTCCAGTCGCTCTGTCGAGTTTTTCGATATAATCAAGGTGAATAAAACTTGGTTGAATTTTATCTTTCAAGTTTAGTGTTTCTACTAGTTTTCTAGCAAGAGTCATCTGTAATCGAGACTAAAAGTAACATGATAAATATGTCTCAAATTTTATAGACTCAAACTACCTATTATTAAGATGTGGCCCTATTTCAAGACTTCGTAATCTTCCTTTGAATTCTAGATTTATTGTTTTCGAAGTCCTACACAAGAAGCCGAAGCTTCATAGATTTACACCTATCTAATATTACATACATCCTCGAATACTTGGAATAATCGAGATTTTAGAATTATTGAATGACGAATATAAACAACGATCCACACAGCTAAGCATGATCAGGACGGTCGAGAACCGCTGATAGTGTATGCAGCCATCATCATTTCTAGAAATAATCTTGTGATTGATATTTTTAGAATTATTACATAATTCATTGACGTCATCAAATGATTCTAAAATTCCCATAAGTCTAAATGACTTCAGTTAATCTCGGACACTGTTTTCTTTTTGCGCTGATTTCGAAGATTCTGAGGTCTTGGAATAGAGTCACTGCTGCTATTATAGTAGGCAATAGATGACGACTTGAGAAATGAAACATATTTGGGCTTGTTTCAAAGTTTCATATCTTTCTATATTCAGTAGACACTATTGGCTCTCTGGATGGAAGCAGCAATCTGGATGCGAATGTACTAAATTTGATTGTGTTCAATGCAACTGACCGAATTAATCATGACGGACAGATTGATAAAATTGCAATAAACTTTTGCAGAGCTCCTACAAAGACTGATGCCATTATTGAATTGTACAGTATCAGAGAGTCGCAAAATGATCTTAACTATTTTTACGTTCGACGATTGGATTCAATCATCACCAATATCAAACTTTCGAAAGGCATTCAAAAAGTAGAAATTAATGAAATCTGTGTGTCTAAAGGTGAATATCTTGGTTTTAAATTTGGTCCGAATGCTGGAAGTCCGTTCACGATTGAGTGCACCAGTTATTATAGCAAATATACACTTGAAAACAGTGAACAAGAGTATAAGATTCTTTTTACAGAATGTAGCAACCATGGTATCTCGGTCAGTTTCTGTATTAAGAACAGTCCAAATACAGAAAAATCAAGCAGACAAAAAATAACTTATGATAATACCGAAGAACAACTTCTTTTGATGCAAATCGAACAGAATGTTACAAAGATGAAGCGAAATCCATTGCGAACAACAGAAAATAGTAAAGATTGGATGAAAGAGAACGAGTTGAGTTTTTCTTGATCTTTTTTTTCTAGATCTAACCAAGTTTCAAGAGCGTGATAATATGTTGCGTGAAAGTAGTATTGCTCAAGATTATTGGCAATATGAACTGAAATGCATCATGGAGCAAGAACGAATCTATCCGCATGGACAAGAAGAAGAACTTGTTCAATAACTGAATGAGAACCTTTCGAACTGATCTATCAATGGTCTCATTCGAAAGGAATAACAACGATGATCTTTTATCATTTCATAAGTTTTTTATGTAAATAGTTGAAAATTTTCTTAATAAATCAGCTAATTTAATCAAAAAACTTTTTCATAGCAAAGTTTTATTGACATGAACCAGATGTCGTCTTTGCATGTGCATAAAAAAAGTGCGATTGATATTTCTTTGTCATACTCTATGTTGTCAGGAAACGCCTTGTTGACATAGTTGATTCATACATCAGACTATAGTAGATGAAGGAAAGAAATCGAACCTTTGTTCTGTTTTTTTTTTGTTCTTGTTACATACAACAAATCATTTTGCACTCTATTGTATACGTACACTTCAATAACCTGTAAGTAAGAAAAAAAAACGAAGATGAATTTAGAATCGTTACCCAATGAGATTTTATTGGATCTATTCGATTATTTCGATGGTATTGATCTTCTTTATGCATTTTATGGTCTCAATTTTCGCTTTAATTTTCTTCTCCACACTCAATATCGAGCGTATCGTTTTAACTTCTGTTTTGTATCCAAACGTAATTTTGACATGATTTGTCAACAACATCTACCAATTATTGCTAATCGAATTGTTCATTTTAGTCTTTCTGAGCATGAAGAAACTCCAACACAAATAAATCTATTTTATTCTTATTTTCCATCATTCAATAAATTTATTCAGTTGCGATCACTTTTACTCTACGGTATTCGATCATATATAATACTAGTAAAGATTACAGATGAATGTCATCAGCTTCATAATTTAACTCATTTAAACTTTTACAATTGTTCTTTGGAAGATAATCAAGTTGATTTACAATTACTTGTCAACAATATTTGGAGTTTGTCTAAACTTGTTCACTGTAATTTTAGTATTGATATCAAAGGAAGAAAGTTTTTTCATATGCCAACAAAACTCTCTTCATCTCTCGAACGTCTATTTATATATGGAAGTGTAGTCAAAATGAATGAGTTAAACCAATTGTTTGAATATACATATCGTCTTAAAAGTCTTTCGATAAATGTCGAATTCGATGATAATAATTATAAATATATACTATCTCCTTTTCCAACATTAATTGAATTACATATCAGTGGTTCTCAGCGAATAGTCGCCTCGAAAATGATTTCTTTATTACAAAACACACCTAATTTACGCCGTTTGAGCGTTAGTTTATGGTCTAATTTTATCGATGGTCATCAATGGGAACAAATCATTCGTAACTACTTGCCAGAGCTCAACGCATTTCGACTTGGAATGCAAGCGACACTGTCTTTCGATCATAATATAAAAGAACAAGTCGATGAATTGGTTAATTCATTCCGAAGCTCATTTTGGATTGATGAGCATCAATGGTTTGTTCGATGTATTACCCAAAAGAGAACTGTTCATCTTTATACTTCATCTAAAGTATTTTATAACTATGACAGTGCATTTTTTGACTCATTTAGATCAACTGATCCACAGGACAATCAACAAAAGTTTTATAACAACATGACTAGCATTGTAAATGAAACATATTTTGACCAATCAATTCCTCCGTACATTCGTTTGCCTAATATTGAATATCTTTGGATAAAATTACCTATCAATGATCGGTTTTGGTCCATTGTTCCAAGTTTAAATCGTCTGAAATCACTGACAGTCGTATCTTATATTGATACATTCCAATCTCAATTAAAAGCTTTACTTGATCAAGCATCTTGTCTGCGTCGACTATGCATCATTCAGGATGCATCGTTACATTCACAAATGTTATTATTTCGATGTACAAATCCATCAATTCGTCAACTCGATTTACGAGACTATAATCATTATTTCAATAAAGAAGAATGTATCAGATTGAGTCATTCATCATTAGGTAGTCAATGTCAAGTTCTTTCTATCATGATTAATAATCGTCAAAGTATTATTTATTTTGTCAAAAAAATAATCAATCTCCGTTCATTAAATGTTCGATGCGAAGATGGAAAATGCCATGAACAATTAGCACTAGTTAAGAATGACAATGATAAATATCTTGACAAAAAAATGCAAAACAAAGATGATCTTATTCAATGGTTAAAAGACCATTTGCCATCAACATGTTTGATTGTAAGAAATCCAGACTTGGTTAAATATATTCTGATTTGGATTTGACAAAAACAAGTACAAATACTTGTTAATTATGAGCACACTTTATTTTGAGTGATGCTACTCAAGAATAATAAATACAAGTCTATGTAATAAAAATAAATTAAATCGAACTAAAATTTTATATGATCCGTTTTGTAAATAAGATCTATATAGAGCATACGATTTTAAGTTTTTTTCAATGATAAATGGATAGTTTGAAACAATTATTTATTAATATAAAGTATTAGTCCTAATTTTGCCACTAATAAATTGACTTCTTAGTATTTGATCTATAACTCTCTAGGGTCTGGAAATATAAACAAAATAACAACTATCTGCTTATTTGTTGAATAATTTTGGTAGCCACTGTATGTTCTTTACATTACCGATGTCAATAAAGGTCTTCTTGAACTCATGCATTGCTCTCAAATTGCAATGTCCTTGACTAATTTGTATCGCGATTAATTTTCTTGATAAACAGTTTTCGTCGGATCACTTTTGGTAAGGTTGTATCTCGTATGTCATTTACGCTTGTCTTTCGCTTACGTTCTTCACTTCACCTCGCACTACTCATTAGTTTCAAGGATTCTCTAGCATGTTCTGTTTAGCAATATAAAAAATTATATCAAGACTTCCATCAGAAAAACAAACTACAGAAAAAAAGGAAAATATCTCACTCTGTACCGTATTCTGTATATAAAAGCGAAAAATGCAGTCCAAAAGAAATTAGCTCGTCTCTCGGAGAACACTAATCTGTACGTACACAATTACTATTGGCTTTCAGCGTTAACTCATTCTTAAGCAATATTAAGAACCATGTCTGAAGAAAGCAAGCTAGCTGTTGTCATTGATAATGGCAGTGATATGTTGAAGTAAAGCCATCGGTACATTAGAAGATCTGGGATCTTCTATTCGGTCTTATCGTTCACAAGTTACAAGAGAGGTTTTCTAGGATGTTTCTCAAAAATGTTATATATTTTGGAAGTTTTGCCAATAAACCTGAGTTTCAATTCATTGTTGCCCAATACATCGTTGGTAAACGAGTTTTTGTTTTTACTTGTTTCACGTGCATAGAATGAGAAAAAAACAACAGATATTTTGTATGTGCTTCGAACAATTTCTTTAGATTCTATTGAGAAAAGAATATGTTTTCATATTCCTAAGAAGCATTCACATAATAAACCTTAAGGTGTATACATGAAATTATATTTTCCTCAATTATGAAAGGTTGCTTTCTGATAAAAGTCTTTCTGAATTATTCTACGAACATCAAAAGGGAAGAACTCTTTTAATTACTACACAACAGAACTTTATGAAATATTTTACTATTTTCCAACAATCTTTTCATATGTCACTCGTGCGAATGAGCACTACAAACATTGAATAAATAACTCATTCTTTAATACACGATTATTTTCTATTAGCTATTTCTCAAGCTTTATCTAACTTAGAACTGATACATGGCTTTGAAGACATAAGCAAAATATTGCCAATATTGTACTTAGATATTGTTATAGATCTAAATATTGAAAATGTCAACAACCTCCAGAAATTGATCTAGGAAATTGATTTTCTCAAGAGGATCTTCTAATATGTCGACGGTTTTTACTTCTAAAAAACTTAAAGGTTTTTCATTTCTTTCAATCAGGCATGTGCAAAGCTCCTCGCACCGTGTTTCCATTGATTGTGGGTCGTCCACATCACAAGACTGTCATGGTCGACATGGATATGAAAGATGCATACGTGGATAAAGAAGCTCACGTCAAGCGTGAAATTCTCACCTTGAAATATCTAGTCGAATGCGGCATCATTACAAATTGGAAAGACATGAAGAAACTTTGGCATCACATTTTCGAGAATGAATTGCATGTCTTTTCGGAAAAACATCCGATCTTGCTACACCGACGTGCTCGTCAATCCAAAGGATAATCGCGTGAAAATGACGCAGATAATGTTCGAAACATGCCAAACACTAGATAAGGTTCTTGCCCACATACACAATAATACTCTATGTCGTTCTAACCATGTACATCTCCTACCAACCAATTCTCACGCTTCATGCTTCGAATTGCACTACAGGCATTGTGTTTGAATTGGAAGATGAGGTCAGTCACGCAGTACCCATCATTGAAGGTAAATTATCTTCAATTGTGCCACCGATAACTTTCAACGATGCTCGTAGGGTGTGCACTACCAGATACAATCTTACGCTTGGATTTAGCTGGTCGTCATTTGACTGAATATATGATGAAAATTTTGACTGAGCGTGGCTATTCATTTATAACAACGGCTGAACGCGAAATCGTTCGTGATATTAAAGAAAAACTTTGCTATGTAGCGTTCGATCTCAACGAAGAAATGAAAAGAGCCACAGAATGTTCTATGCTCGAAAAGAACTACAACATACCCGACAGCGAAATGGTCACCATCGGCAACGAACGATTCCGATGTCCAGGAGTGCTATTCAAGGCGAACTTGGTCGGCAAAGAAGATGTCGGTAAGTTATGTTCATCTTCTTTATATCTCATGATTACGGCATTGTTTCAGGCATTTATGAAATGATTCACAGCTCGGTCATGAAATGCAATAGCGATGCTCATAAGAATCTCTACGAGAACATAATTCTCTCAGGTAATAAGTATCAACATTAAAACAGATTTCTGGCTTATTTTCTACGCGATCTTTTTGTTTCGTTAGGCTCTACGATGTTTTCAAGCATCGCTGAAAGAATACAAAAGGAAATCACTGAGCTAACTTCATTCAGCCTGAAAGTCAACGTCATCGCATCTTCCGAACGCAAGTATTCAGTGTGGATTGCCGGCTCCAAGTTGGCCATATTACCTAATTTCCAACAAATGTGCATTACCAAAGAAGAATACGACGAATCAGGACCGTCAATCGTTCATCGCAAACGTGTTTGAACGTGCTCTTTCTATGGAAAGCGATAAATCCTACTGCGGAATTATATAGCGTTATAATTCAAGCCTTATTCTCAGTCTCACCATCTAACAATTCATGCTTTTCACACAGACAACCATGGTACTTTAGATTTTTGACCCATAGAAATAATATTATACAATAAATATAAAAATAAATATTTGGTGTATGCGTGTACGTATTGATTTGAGTGTTGGTGGGAATTCGATATGAGTGTAGGCATGAGGACGAGGGTTTGTCTTTGGGTTGGATTTGCGATTGTAACTGTAGACAAAAGTACACCGTTTCTTATAAAGTCTTGTTTAAGATGACAAGTTTTTATGAAGAATGCATATCTTATGTTCGGAACCACTGTGAAAGCGATCGAAAGTTTTCACTTGTTTTTTCGACGGATTGATGTGAATGAAAATGTGGATGCTCTACCTTCATCGACTCGCAGGTCCTTAACTACATCACCTACATTTTTGAGGTCATTCCAAATCAATAAACGAATGAATGGAATGAGCTGATTAGAAACAGGATTTTTCTCAATGTGTTTGCAATTTTTTCTAACAATGCAACTAAACCATTGTTGAAAATTTTGCATACCATTGTTTTTTGTTATTTAACGGTCGCAATTCAGCATTTTCTATGGAGTGACACATAAGAAAACCTTTTCACAAATAGAAATCGAAATAAGAATGAACAACAGATGTAGTACAAATTATTTTAGCGTATCCTTCGTTGTATGAATCGATCTTCGAATGATATGTAATGAAATTATCATTCTGAACATCACAATATTTACACTGTTACAGTATTATTGAATAGTAATGGCAGAGTTGTGCGGCAATAAGTGTATATCTTTTTCGTTTTTGTTTCTTGTTTTCTTCGCTGTGACTTGTATTAGTGTTCAACTAGAAAAGAAATCGTAAATCTTTTTGTACATTGAAGACAATCAAAAACAGAAGTGCAAAATTTATGATTTATTCGTACTTTTCCAAATATCATAAATCGAAATCAGCATAAATAATATGCCATGCGATAATATTGGAATTCAGTTCTCACCAATACACTTGCAGCGTACAACAATATTTCCTTAACTGATCTATATACATAAGTAGTTTATTTTCATCAAGAATATAGCTGATATATCTGTGAGTTATTTAGTGATAGACAGAACGTAAAAAACTGCATTGAAATTGACTCGTTTCTTCAATACTCGCAGTTTTTTTCATCACACAATCTCAGAGAGTAAAATATCTGCTTTTCGAACATTGCTTTTCATCAGTCTTCTCACTAAAATACCTAATAGTAAATGTTGCACCATATCTTCATGTAGTAGTACCCATTGATATTTGATGCATCGCTCGATAAATCTCAACGATATAACTGACTCGGTGAAACTCGCATAGTTTTCCCAACATTTCCTAAATTGAAATTCAACGGACGCCACTATGCATTATCGTGTTCAGCATGATAATACATGATTGCATGTGTGGGGATTCAATTGGTACGAGAAACTTGCTTAACTTTTTACGACCTCATAGAGCAAATTTACGGTCATAATTCATCGACTCGATAATACGATGTAATGGAACCGAACATGTCGTGCATGTTCGTATACGATGATCATAAATCTTGACTTAAGTGACCTTGATTAAGTTCTTTCTGATGTAACTACTTCAATCTTGTAGGATGTAGAATAAAATAGTTATAATGAGAATTTTTATAAGCATTTTACTTATAAAGATATTCTCTTATACTAAACCATCACATATTCTGATAGCCTTCTAAATTTTCTAGTATCCTGTACTTCCTCTTAAATTTTTTATTCAGACATTTTATACATAATTAAATGTAAAGATTTAAAGGACATTGGAGGAGAATTGAAATAAACAAATAATTTATCAGACTACGACCAATTTTACAAAAAATACAATGTCATTCAGAAAGATAAACAGATGATTCATTGATTGCTTACATACTTAATTTAATCGTCATATGACTTGAATTATGTCTCTTAATTTTCGTCATTGTTGTGTACTGCAGCGAGTAGCCGTCCAAGAAAAATATTTGAGATATCATTTGTTTGTCTAACTCAAGACGATGTGTTATCGTACAAGCAGTTTGATCATTATCATTTTCTCTTGATTCCTATTTTGTGCTTGCTGTATTTTCATGTTCTTATAAGCTATTTAACTACTTTTACCGTTATAATAATGACTTTGACTAATTTTTCAATATCTTACCTGTCAATCCGATTCTCATTATCACAGCCTATCTCTCATTCGAATTATACTTCACAATGGTTAATTGTTAATGCTTTACTTAGGAAGAGAGAAAATACTTTGTGGTTTGAAAAAAAAATTGAAGTACCACTATCAACAACAAATAATAGTAAATATCATCTATTGATAAAACATGTTCGTCAATTTATAAGCTCAGGTTATGTTGAGGTGAGCACGTTAACCTAAGTTTTATAATCGTAAGTACACGTGTTGGAATCTCATCTTTTTCCTGTTCTACACACATGACCGATGGATATCGAGAGCTCGACGCTATGAGTGCGTGAAAGTCAACATTTTTTTCCAGTCAGTTCATCTCGTCTCCTCAAAACCTTTCTTCGATGGGCATCGAAAGTGCATATTGATTATTCGGAGTGACCCGTTGAAAGGAACAATCTTCGAATAATTGATTTGAGGTTCTGGTGAGAATTAAAAGCTCAATTCGATACGTCGAAACACGATTGGAGAAGACGTTGGAAATCTGCCATTTTATTGTGGATATTTCTCACTAATAATGACTAGTCATTGTTAGCATGAGCAGCAATAGAAATAGATAAGTCTTAATGCTGAAAATCATAGAAAACTGGTCATTTTTCTTCTCATGATATTTCAGTATAGCATTGTCAGAAAAATCCAACAGTGATAAAGTACACATTAAATGATTCTTAATATAAAGAAGCTAATTCAGAAGCACATATTTCCAAACAGATCATTGTTTCTATTGTTTCATCCTCTTGTCAACCGTTTGATCAAAACAGTGCAATTTTGTTTCTATTCTTTACAGTTGTATCGACCCAATATCATTGATTCTTATAACTTCAACGATATTGTCAACACTCGGATCCTTCAAGTTGTAATTTTCTTGTTTCTTTTCAATTCGTTATTCTTTATAAAAACCAATATATCGAAGATAAAGTACTATAACTATGTGTTTCTCAAAGATGAAAATGTTTACCATCTAGGAGGTGAACATGCGATAAGAGTGAATCAGTTTCATTTGCGACTCCTGCGTGTAACTCTACTTCCTTTTAATCTTCAGATCAAGTTGGAAAAAAATACAATAACACATAAACTCGTCCTTCTTCTCTTTCTGTCATAAAAAAGGCGGTGCAATGGTGTATACGAAATGAAAAAGAAAAAAAAAAGAAAAGATGGAAGAACAGTAAACACTTTTGACTCGAATACATTTTCGAAAGTATGAGAATTTGAATTGTATAGAAGACGAAAGTAAGAAACACAAATAATGTGCCGATGTTTTTATAAATCATTACCCATATTTCATAGTTTTCTTGTTATTTATGAAGTTATATGTGGCATTGTCAGACTTGGAATATTTTTTACAAATATAAATAATCAGTCTTGTAACTATGATAATAATATATTCAATAATCGAACAACGGTAATAACAACCACATCCTTACCAGAACTTCGAAAAGTTTCTCAGGTTGTAGCTGCTTTTATTATCGATTGGATCAGTTCATTGGTTCCAACTATGATGGCTTTTTTATAACATTCCTTTCTCTTTGGTTTGGTTATCGAATTTTACGACTATGTCGTACAGGTCATCATCAACCACGTACCAATTGTCATTTACGACATCTATTAGCCAGTAGACCCATTCAACGTTTTCTTTTATTTAATTGTAATTGTCCATGTTATATAGCACGTCCCAAATGGCGTTTTCTTGTACGTTTTTTATTTATTACGATTAGTATTGGTCTACGTTTGTTAGCTATTATTCTATATGCAACAGCACCAACTTATTATAATTATGAATTTTCTAGTCGAACACAAAAACTATCATGGATTTGTGCTATTACATTCGCATCATCAATACTGACTTTATTATTGGATTATTATCACTTTCGTGTTTGGTGGTATTATGTACCATCATGTGATCACAATCCATTTTATAGACGTTATTTAAAGAAATATCGACGCTTTATCCCATATCATTTAATGGGTGCAAATCGAAATGAAATTCAATTATGGAATGAACCATGTGCATTACAACGATTTTATCTCGATCGAACATTGGAATATATTATGATATTTCATTTTAATACGTATACACCTACGCCACATTGGTCGGATGTTCCAAACAAAAATCTATTAACTACTACATACATTGGTTTTCATCGTACAGATGCTGAAGCAGCTGTTAGTATAGCATATACGGATTTCAATGAAAGTAGAACTAGGCCGCAAATGTTAGGTTTTGGTATTTATTTCGCTCGTTCAATTTTTCATACTCAGTTTAAGGCAAGACGGGATGGTGCTATTATATGTGCTGAAATTCTTATGGGTCGTGTGCTTGAAATAGAAAATGATGAATTAGGAAATGTATCAAATACAGATGCATGGCATCAGACTTTTGACACAATATATTACCGTCATCCACCACAACCATTACGAGATGAATTTTGCATTAAAAGTAATGAGCAAATATTGAAATGGGTTATGTCTATTGAGCCGCCATTTGATACTAATGTAGAACGATATGGTTGCTCACAGAGTTTGCTGATACTCAATGCAATTGTATTTAATGCTTATGCTACTAAGTTTTCACGTGAATTTGAATGTGAAGTACGATTGAAAATGAGTATTGAAGTTTATTATTTTTCTCTATGCTTTTGTATCGACGTTTTCTAAAGATTGATCAGTTTCCATTGAAAAAACTAGGAAATACCAGCTCAGCATTGGCATTGCACTTAATTAATATTAAATGCACTGTTTTTTTCTCATTAAGAGTCTAATACAAAATTATTGATATTATTTAGAGACATAGCGTCGCTCTGATATTGCATTAAATCAATATTAACTCCCATACTTTTGTGTTAGAGTCTTAAAATAGAACAAGATTCTATTGCACCCTCGACCACAGTGTTAATCTACTCTTGAACAGAAATCTATTTTAAATGACTCCACAAATGCAAAGATACCCAGTCAGACAAGTGTTGAAAAAAAACGGCGTTTTTACACGTAAAAAGCGCACATTTTTAAGCGTTAACAAACGTTTTTTTCTTCTAATCAAATGATTTCCACAACGTGGACATTCACAAGCTTCCTTTATTTTCCGAAAAAAGTCAAATTGCATAAAACGTTAAAATGTGCGCTTTATATGCGTAAAAACGCCACTTTTTGCAACGCTTGTCTGACTGGGTAGCAAACCATTCACGATGTGAATATTTCGATCTTCCGCCGAGTTTCTTTAATTTAATTGGTCTCCATACATATCTTTTTGTTTGCATTGTACCTAGCTCCATTTGAACTCGAGTTCGTCGTGATCAAGCTCAAAAGTCAGACAAAACCACACCATATGACATTTTTTTTTATTGAGTTCAATATATTTTCGTACTGATGCAAGTCATGAACTCTTTACATTGTTAGAGTCTGGTACTTGAACTGATGACGGATATCTATCACAAGAAAGAATTTAGTGCGACATTATTCTTTTAGTCGGAATAAAAGAGCGTAAGTATGTAACATAAATGATCACAATTCAAGTAAAATGCACATTCTATATTTATCAATTAGCAGCAGATTTGTGCATCTGGAAAGCATTAAATCACATGACGCAGCTCAACAGAGCAGAAATACGTGTCGCGGAACAATCCATAGTCATTCTCGTGTTTTGATTCAATCAAACATTTTTAGTACAAATTGATGACCAAAAATGTGAAATTAGCGTTTGGGTAACAGTCAATGATCCTAGTAATGAGTTTGAAAATGGTGAAAAAGAACATCGTTGAACTTAGCATCAAGACTATGGAATGCTTGCAGGAGACTAAAACTACTGTGCAACTCAAATACGTTCAGTAAGAATGTGTTCGTTAAGGATTTCGAAATCATAACTGTTTCTTGCACACATAGTAGAAAAATACATTTGAACGACAAAGATTAAGAACATGTAAATTGTCAGTAGAAAGAAAAATGCTTCGAAGCAGTAAAGAACATTTTTTTATCTGATAACGAACTAAAGAATTTTATTTAACCGTAATGTTTATGACGATGTTGGAGAACAAATCTAAAAGAATGAACCTTGAATCTTTTCGCTAAAAAGTAGGTGAACTCTATCTTGCAACATTAAAAAATGCGTCAATTGCAAATGATAACAATATTTTTTGAAACTATAGTGTAGTAGGTTGTAAAAAGAGTGAAGAATAGTAAACCTTCACTATCCGTTTATCACAATTAGATAAATTCTTGTTATGTTGATGAGCATAATCTTTCGTTCGTAGACCTTTTTGTTTGGTAAATCTTGGAGAAATTTTGTGATCCATTGCAAATTGATATATTATTCTCTTGTTTTCTGTATTCATAAACCATTTTTGAATATATGAATGGAATACACTCTAGGGCGAAAAATTTATTATTACACATTTAAAACACAACCGTAGGATAATAAACCCATTGCTTCCAGGTTAATTCCATTCATATACTGGAAAATGATCACGAATGAAAAAAATAAAATGCAACCTGTCACGAACTCTTCTCAAGGTATATGAACAAAATTGCTGATAAACTAGTAGATAATAGCATATTAATCCAAAAATAAAGGTTATCCATGATAATAGACGGATAGCGAACATGTGTTATTCTTCTCTTGTGTTTTTTTTACAGTCGACTTGCTATTCCATCAGTATTTTTCTGCATTTGATATTTATTAGTTTATCGAATACTTGATTATTTAACATCCATGACTGATACATCAGTTGATCAATCAGGTTCAAATGGCGTAACTATATCAAAACCAATACTTAAACGAGAGAATTTCAATATAGATGACTCTACTGAAGTGATAGTCGAGAGTGGCAAGTTCATATGACATAACTATAGAAAAATTTTCTCATAGATAATTGTCAATATAGAAGAATCAGTTCCTTGGTCAAAATTCTTCTTGCTCTAGTTCTGATCGGGGTAGTGGCGGCAGTCGTAACTGTTCCAACTGTTCTCTTAACTCGACGAACAACACCATCTCCAACTATTTCTGTGCCCACCAGTTCGTCGACCATAACATCAACGACGGATGTTGCTTCATCCGCCACAGAGACAATGACGGACATAACTTCAATAACTACAACAACAGCAACGGCTGTCACTACGACAGTCACTATTACTATAGTAGAGATGACGGGTGTGATTCAAACACAGAAAAATTACTTTGTCATAAGGTCTTCTTTCCAAGCATTCCTAAATTTTTCTTTTGAAATTATCGCGCTATATGGGAAGGTATAAATCTGTCTGTCATTCACGGACGCAAGAAACGAGCAGTTAGCCTCACCCTACCTTCGAAAGTATTGATAAGTGGTTTTTCAACAGCTGGGTACGAATTTTTTTCACTAAAAACTTCATAGAAAGCGTTTTGTTCCGCACAATTTGTTTGGACCACTAGACAAATTTTCGCTTCGTAAATAAAGTTTGCTCGATAATTCTCAAAATGATAATATATGTTTTTTCATTTCGACATATAGACTTCTAATGTTAAGTATGCTCGCACTTGTTTTATTTTTAAGCGACAAAGACTATTATAATTTCCCCAAATTTATTGGTAAATCCTGGTACTGAAGGAGGATCTACTGTTGGTTGGAAGCAAACTGGTCCTTCGGCTGCCATTGTTAATTCAAATAGAGCATTCAATGGTGGTTATTATCCACATAGTGGATCATATTGTTTTGCTGGCGGAAATGGATTAAATGGTTCACAATCAGGATTAATTCAAAATGTTCAACTTCTGGGTGGTGTTCAAGGTTTCACAGAAAGTCAACTTGATTCATGTTTTTTCAGAGCAGAACTCTATTTTTATTATCAAACTTGGGACAATTTTTTTATGCGACATGGTCAAGTATTAGTTAGGTTGACATTTCGATCATCTTTGTCTTCTATATTGAATACAGTAACTACAGGAGAACTTGCTTGCAAGACATCAAATGCAGGATGGTGTCGTTATATCAATATGTTTCCATTACCAAGGGGTACACGAAGTATTGATTATAGAATCACATTCATTCGAAAAGACGTGGTAGGCACAGATATCGACTCTTATATTGATGATAATTCATTGAGAGTTTTATAAATGGTTGCTTTTTCTTTTTTTTACACTGATAAGGTCATTTTCTTATTCAGTAAATCATTGTTGACACTCAATAAGAAACATTTCCGAGAAAATTTGAATCACTACTCATCGAATCACATTGTGACTTTGTTTACATACAGATATTCGCAAAAAAAAACCTGCACAAAATTAAGATTATTTGTTTCAGCATTTTCATAGCATATGAAACGATTGCACACTCTACCTTTTTCAAATTTTCTTTCTCCTGTAATCATGAGACATGAATGGCATAAAAAAGACTTTTCAATCAAACTCAGAAATTTTATGGATATAACTAAGTTTTGATAGAGAAATACAACGTTTTTCTCGTCATGAAAAATATCTCTTAAAAAAAAAAAACAAAAATAACGAACCAGAGGTACAAATAGACCGCAAGGCCTGCCTGCCTGTCTACTTTTTTTTTCGAAATCGAAGTTTCATCTAATAATTTGATGATGTTGTTAGCAAATAGATACGAACTTCATAAATTTTCAAAAAGGCCATATTTAAGCGTGATGAATTAGACAAATACTGCGGAATGAGTATTACAGATACTGATAGAAAATCAATTCCCTTACCATTCTGAAGAGATCATGAGCACAAATTTTCATAGTTATTGTTATCTACTTGTCGTATTTCTTAATTCTAGATAATTTAATTGAGTCTAAATCCTTTTTTCTCTTGCAGATTTTCCACTGATTGAATGTTGTTCCTCTCTTGATCCCAATTCTGTGAGTGACATCGCGATCTGACGGGAGAAGTTTATTGAGAATATTCTTGAAAAAAAACCAGATATCTTCCACAAGATGACTATCTTAGCATTGTTTTAATTTTGTTTACGTATCACCAGTGTTCAGTTTGTAAATTTTTAATCGATAATGAAACTTTTCAACGTATGTGGGTATCTGTAAAATTGCCAATACTTAGAGAGACCACCAAGTCTGAAAACGAATAGAGTTCGAAATTGATATTATTTACACATCCCTACTGCATCACGCTTTTTTTTGAGTCAGCTGAAGGATAGCCTTTCTTTTGGATACAGACAATCATAATCACTTATACTTTTATTTATACAAGGCCTTTAAAAATTAAAGATCAGATGGTTCAGAAGACATAAGGAACTTTTTAGGCGAAATTTTACTATTTATAAAATTTTATTAATTTTCTTCTAAGTTCATGTTGAAAGATATCTATCGCAAAATTCTTTTCAAAAATTTTATATAATGTTTTATTACAAAGTATAAGAACAGGAAGCTACGTGAAAAATATTCAAGGTCTCTGAAGCTACCAGCTTTCTAAAGCACGTTTTAGTATTCTTTAACTTTTTGCTAAACGGTGACAAAAGTATGAGCATATATGAAATTAAATTTTCTATTGCTGTGAAGAATGCAGATCTAGCCCTTGTAACAGAAGTGATCAAAAAAGTTGATGCTAGGTCCAGTAACATCCTACATTTTTAATAGATTAGGAATCGATAACAAATCGACTTTGCTTTGTTTTCATTGTAATCGACTCGCTACCAATAGACAATCGATAAAAGAATCATGATTTTAGTCATTTAAAATGAATCTTTTGTGACTTTTACATAAATTATATTTTATATGAGAGTGTGTCTGTAGTTTTTACATGTAGGTGTTGTAGCTACTTTTCAATGAAGTTACTTGTTTATTGAGAACGGTGCCAATTTTTGCCGAGCGATTTTGACTTGAAATCGACCGTTCGTTAGAGAAGACATTTTTAAGTGAATTGAAAACTATGCTTTTTTTAATACTTCGGTTGACTAGACGTACCGCTGGAAGTGGACAGTTTTTGTTCTATCCTTAGTTTCACATGCTCTCAAATAAAAAGAAGGATGACACCTCTATTTAGTGGAAAGTTGAAAATTCTCTTGGATTTTTCAATTAGAGACTTTTTACTGTAGTCATGTAGATTAAATTCAGTGACTAATAGGACTTTTTATGAAGATTACTACTTATTTATACTGTATTTTTACCATGATATTGACGTGAAAAAAACACACAGGCCTCGACAGGCAGACCAGGCCGAGAAAATCAGAGGACAAGCACATGCAGGCTAGGAGGGGTGTAAGCTTGTTCCAAGCAGGCCAGACCTTCAAAAAGTGGACCTATTTGGACCTCTGTAACGGATCTCTCAATGACAACTTTCAAGGAAAGATAAAAACATATTAAACATTATCTTCTATTGTAATAGAATACCGTTGCAGACGAGTCATCTAACGTATACTTTTAAGGAAATGTGAAACAATTTTTTGATATTTTTTCTGGACAGTAATGAAATTCGAACTGCTGCAAAGCACGAGCAAACAATGTACTGTATTAGGTAATACTGCCAATTAATTTACAACCTTTCCATGAGTTCATCAACACATATAGATTTTTGATGTCTTTAGTCAATTTTATTTTTATGCCTTACCCTTATTGAAGGTAGTTGTAGATTTATACTTCGTCTCTAAAACTATATCCACCCTCGTGGATAATGAGTTATTTTCGTTTTTCAATTGACGAACTAACAGAAAATCAAAGAGTACTTCTTCAATAGATCAAAAATCGAACCATGGTGAAGATATTTTATTCTGAGCATGGCATTGTCATTCGGTTGTCGTATTTTATGTAGAATAAAAAAATGGTATGGTTAAATGATTTGAACAGAAAAAGATTATAATGTGATACTCTGATGATGCTGCATGAAATATAAATAGCCATTTACTGCGATTGTTTTTTAGAAAATTTCATTAGAAAGCACTGGAGGCTGTTCCATATCAGTGCCTGGATCAAAACCGCATTCAGATACCACTTGAATTGAGCTTCCAACGTAGTTTCGAATACACTATTTTTCTTTTTTATCCACTACAGAATGAACATCTTGCAAAAAAACAAGTCGTTGAAGACTGTTTTTGTCAGAATTGAAAAGAGTGACGTTTGTATTATTCATTTCACATTTGCGACTTGTCGTCAATGTCTTACGCTGTACGTAAACAACTAAAAGAGAGAAAACAACATTGGTTCTTTCCCGATTATAACATTATATGTAAGAATGAAAAATAAAAAGACGGTCGGCGGTATTTTATTATCTCGGCTAGCTTTAATTGTATTTGAATTCCATGATTGTAAATTTCGCCAGCTCTAGACGTTAACAAGTTAAATCTATTCAAGTTTGTTATGTCAGCAAGAGTTTTATGGAATGGTCTCTCACGGTTAGTAATAATTAAGCATATTACTTTCGTTGTTTTCTTTTTTCTACGTGACCTGTTATCTTATGTTGGCTTTAGCTGTGTGCATATCTCTTTCTGTTCTATTATGTGAAAGCTATAAGGTTATAACAATATGAGTGTAGAATAATAAACACAATAAACCTCAAGCAAGTTGTCTTGCAGAATTATGCAATTTTTCTGCTGACCAGTAAAAGTCTCTCTCATGTATTTTGATAAATGTGCTTTTTCATAAGCACAGAAACAAAACATTTAGAATTCGAATATCTTACCTCTATATTTTTTACCTGGCCCACGCACAGAAATATTTTCCATATTTGTATGTACGCATTGACCAGTTAGAGGATGCCATATCATACCAGGATTATCGATGAGTACAAAGAGAACATTGCTTCCATAACATCTATCTTGATGGTCTTTATGCAAGAAAGCACTACCCAAGATTATCTTAGCTATAAAGTTTAATGAGCTTTGAAATAAAATAAAAAGAAATGAAAAAATTGTATACTTACATTCGTGAAGTGTACTTAATCCAGTATCAGGATGCAAAGTATCGTTTGGAACATGCCATGGTGTACTTGGAGTTACGCAGCTAGTATCGGTTAGATCTTTCCTAGTTGCCCATCGAAATGCATATGTTTCGACTCTTCGTAGTGCTGAAGAAGGTAGTGCCAACGCAATATCCCCCACAACAATCAAGATATACGACAGGAAAATTTTAAGATTCATGATATTTGTAAACGGTTTGTAACACATACAGTGACGAATATCTCGAGCATTAGTCACAAAAAGATGTTTCCTATGACCAATAATAAGAAAGCAATTGGAAGGTCGTTTCTTTCTCTCTCATCAGTCATTGAACATAAACTTTTGCAGGCATTCATCTGTTTTTCTTTCTTCAATTCAACAAACGAAACTATTTCGTTCTGACCTGATGCATGTAACTAGACCTTAATAATAAGTTTATTTTATCTCCCAACACCTTCTCTTACAGAAGAGAAAACAACGCACACTGTGTATTCATCACTGATTGGCATAATTATTCTTAAACCTGACTTTGGCTTCATCATTAGTAGAAATTAAAATAAGCTACTCACATATGCTATATACAAAAGTGGATCTATCTCACTCTAGTTTACTGAAACAAATAGAATTTTGATTATCCCACGATTTTTTATAATGTATTAGAGTGATATCTCTGTCATGATGTACAATTTACTTTCTAAAATAGCTTCCAGTATAACTTCAAACAAATACACTATTGATGTCATTTATAAAGTAAAGATTGATTGCTCATTAGTTATGATTAAAAAGATTAATAGCTCGTTCTTTTTCATCATAGATCGAAAATAAAAGGAAATATTTCAAAGAAATATTTTTCGATATATTGTAAAATCATAAATCGAATTTGAATGGAACTAAACACTCCTTTTATTCACAGTTCAGAAATAGTAAAAGGTTTAAATAAACAACAGCCGCTTACATATAGTTAATTACCATGTAATGCATTTATTTGAAAGGTTTGGATTAGATACAAATGTGAATATTCTTACACATTTAGATATACAACCGTTCAAGTTATGAACCAAAATAATATCACTAAAAGTTTATTCGATAATTCATAATTACTGGAGACTCGAATATGAAAATGTCTTGTTTAAGCGACATAGTAGAAGCTGTTTAGCACAACAAGGTGATTCCCATTTTTGTATAATAAAATTATTATTCTAAAAATTTAAGTTCAACACAGACATAACCTATCAGAAAGTATGCTTAGAATGCTTTTTTGAGCAATACATTTTGATTGGATATCAAGTTTCTGTAAAAGAAATTTCAAGAAAATGTGCTACGCGTAGCTTCTCAAAAGAGGTACTTTTTAAATAAACATTCAGCTATTTAAGTATTTGTATAGCCATTTAAGCTTTTCACAGCTATTTAACTACTTCCATAGCTATTGAAGGTTTCCATAACCGATCACTAATGATGCCAAATTTTCACTTTGAGAACTTTCTGGAACATAATTAGTCATTGAAGTTCATGTAACACTAGTTCCTGGTCGATGAACAATAATTATATTTATACAGAAGGGTAGGGTGGGTAGCCGTGGACATGGATGTGGAGCGTGACTGTAGTATTGATTAACCGTCCACGCACCCAAACTCGCATTCATCCGACGCCCAAGCCGTTTTCACTCTTCATCCCCCCAGCACCCTTGCTCGAAACAATAAGTACCCTGAAAAAATCATTCATTGTCAGTTAAACCGCAATACCAATATATAGACTTTTACTACCAATCACCAAATAATGTTTCGACTTAAAAAGCTATTCCTGCTGACGTTTACGAGTATCTAATATAAAATAGGCATCATAGAAATATTTCAATGGCAATAGAAGGTTTAAGTACCTATGAAACGCAAAAGTACTCACGCGACTGTTTGAATAGCTGTGTAAGATTTGAATACTTATGCCACTACTTCAATAACTATTTAAATACTTAAAAAACTATGCGAGTAATTAAAAAGCTATAGAAAGCTTAAATAGCTATACAAATCTTAAATAGCTATGGAAAACTTAAATAGCTGTGTAAATCTTAAATAGCTATAGAAAATTTAAATAGCTATGCAAATACTTAAATAGCTATGGAAAACTTAAATAGCTATGTAAATCTTAAATAGCTATGCAGGTGCTTAAATAGCTATAGATACTTTAAATAGCAGCAACTTTTCAAAGTCATTTGTACTAAACAAAAATTGTATCTCTTTTGAGAGTGAGCCGTGCTACGAATCTCCTTTATTTCCTTTCTGTCATTATAAATGCATGTGTATGTGCCTTGACGTAAATACATAAGATTGTTCTTTTCAACGAACGTTAACAATAATTTGAATGAATTAAGTAGAAAGTTGTATAAATGAAGAATGAAAAGAAATAAATAAGCCTGAGAAACATCAAATAGAGATGAAAGAAGATGCAGGATAAAACTTAGATGGTGTAAGTGTGGCTGTAGCTGTTTATGAAGGTAGAACACCTCCCATCTTTAATGAGTGCAGTTTCTGATCAGGCGAAAGCCTTATATTTACCAACAATCACCGGTAAAATCATGAAGCAGATTTGAGTTGTGCTGGAGAAAAAGAATTTTAAGTTTATTTTTTATTTTAAAACTATTGAATGTATGCTGATGTAACACTACAATATTTATAAAAAAAAGTATTTGTCTTTTTACGTAGAATAATACGGTTCGAATATTGAACACTGTTAAAGTGAGTCTAAAACGTCAAAAATGCTTTGTATCTAGACGTTATTCACTACTTGTTATACCACAGATCATATCGGGATCATTAGTTGAAATTGCATCATTTTTAGAGATACTACCCGTTTTCATCCAACAAGTACCACCATTCAAAGTTGTCCATGTATAATGAGTGCAGTCTTTCGTACGAAGACATGTCGGACCACAAAGTTCCGGTGAAATTTCGACGTGAGAGAGATCATTTCCACTGAAATCACACGATCGAGCCCAAGTCTGTCCATTCCATTGAACGGTGGGAGTCGGTACAACGTTCTGATCATCCTTGTTAACACCACAAACCATGGTTGTATCGTTAGTTGAGAATGCATCAGCCTTGGAAATATTACCCTTTTTCATCCAACAAGTACCACCATTCAAAGTTGTCCATGTATAATGAGTGCATTCTTGCGTTTGAAGACATGTCGGACCGCACAGCTCTGGTTTAATCTTGACGTGAGACAGGTCGTTTCCATTAAAATCACAGGATGTAGCCCAATTCTGTCCGTTCCATTGAATGTTAGAAATGGGTACACCTTCCCGCCCATCCTTGTTAATACCACAAACCATAGTTGTGTCATTAGTTGGAAATGCATCAGCCTTGGAAATATTACCTTTTTTCATCCAACAAGTACCACCATTCAAAGTTGTCCATGTATAATGGGTGCACCATTTCGTCTGAAGACATGTCGGACCGCACAGCTCTGGTGGAATTTCTACTTGAGACAGATTGTTTCCATGGAAATCACATGACTTGGCCCAATCTGCTCCATTCCATACTACCAGGTAATTCGTTATTTCTTGCCCTTTATCGTCTCCAACACCGCAGATCATGGTTGTATCATTCGTTGGGAATGCATCAGCCTTGGAAACATTACCCTTTTTCATCCAACAAGTACCACCATTCTCCTTTGTCCATGTATAATGAGTACATTCTTCCGTTTGAAGACATGCTGGACCGCAGAGTTGTGGTGGAATTTCTATGTGAGACAAATCATTTCCATTGAAATCACAGGATCTGGCCCAATTCTGTCCATCCCAATAGATTATCTGGTCTGGTATACCGACAATATTAAAAAGAATAAAGATATTCTTGAAGAAAAAAATGATGATTATTTCCATTTGTTAAAATAATTATGTTTTGAAGATGACTCTAGGATTCTTTTTATTGTTTAGAACGATAGAAAAAGTCACTTTGCGAGGTGAAGTTTGATGAACTCCGTTCAATACTATATTGCTTAGTTCAGACTTGGTAGCTTCATAAAGGCTTGGAAATATAAATGTCAGAGCGCTGTGTAATTCAAATATTACACCGAAAACTAGCCGTTACTATTCTCTAATCTTCTTTTCTACTATTCAAAAATCTCTGTTTATTGTGCGTGCAATCTTAAAAGGTGATCCTTTAATATTTTATGGTTTGTTCAGAAAATTAGCGTCATATAGTTCTTAACTCTGAAGAATACTGCACTTTCGATTTCTATAGGAGGTTCAGCAATATTTTTAGCATTGGCTTTTTTTTATCTAGATGTATACTTTGAACAAATGCGAGTTGATCAAAATGGGAATATCTAGTTCGATTCTTTAGTGAATGCATGTTTCAATAAGAAGCGAGCCCGCTGAATAATATCAATGAATAAACAGATTTTGTTCGTTTTAAGTTACATTAACGACAAAACTCGTTTCAAAACCATTTGATAGTAACTTTTTTTCATAAAAATACGATCGCATTTTCAGAGCCGTCAGTCTAGTTTCCACAACATCTGATGAATTGGTATGTGCTAAATTCAGTCACAATTTAACATAGTTCTATTGACATAAAACGTCGGTTTCATTACTGTGTTTATCAAAAATGAAGTAAACAGCACACTATTTGAAATCATTGCATAGAAACAATTTAGACCACTAATTTATGCATTCTACGGCTAGTGTCTAGAAGCTGATAATAATAAAAAAAGTCAAGACACAAATTTTCTGTTGTTTAAACAGAAACATAATGAGCTTGTTCACATGAGTTACGAAAAGCATGTTTTTTTACTGATTAAATTTGATATTTTGAAAAATACATGAAGTGTTTCAGTTTCATACAAATTTTAAAAATTTTCAGCTTTCAAATTTTAAAGCAATTAGAGACATGTACTTGAGACGATTATTTGAAATTTTGAAGAGAGATAATAAGAGTTCATTGACTAATCATAGAACAAAATTTAAGATGTCTCTTCTGTCTGAAACATATGAAAAAAAATAATTAAATTACTATGCGCAACTATACCATTGTTAATTTCACGAATGGCTAAAATTTAGTGTATTTCAAACGCATGGAAAACAACGGTAAACTATTTTCAGAGTGATTCCATACTTCGCAAAGAGAACTCAAAACTGACAAATTCATCCATACAAAGAACAATGAATGCTACTTTGTATGCGTCATATAAATAGTTATTGTCAGCTTCAATTCATAAGAAATTCGATCAATTTAAAGCTTGGAACTTCTATGGATGTCTGCTTCAAACGCTGATAATGTAAAAACTACAACGTTTTGTTTTTAATAAGTTACACTCTACTTTATACAGTTAATCGCATTGACGCATCTAGTTTTGAAATTGTTATTTATAAATTTTCAATGGCGTCATATTGAGAGAAGTTCATTTTGATGCATTCAAAAGAAAAAAAAATGAATTTTATGTTTTATTAGTTATTGTAAGTAAGTAACAGTTTTATTTCTAACATCTACATGTATAAATCTAACAGATTTGCGATGTAATCTGTATGAAATGTACCGTTTTTTGCAGACTTTCATGTCATTTATAAATGGAACTTTGAATAAACTTAGGAACGGATTGTTTCATCTCTTGTGTGATAAGATGTCTAGTGTCCTTCAGAAAATTCGGTTAACAATTCCTCATATTGTTTATCGAGGTGTGGATCATTGTTTCATCTAGACCAGCTGGATAGCGTTGTTCCAACTGTGAATATTTCAAAAAGAAATGAATTTTTATGATACGAGCTTGATATCAGAAAAAATCACATTGTTTCCAAAAATGGCTTATATAGAATCTTTCTTTTACTATATTACTAGTACCTCAACATTGCAAAATAGAAAGCGTAAAATTCCAGCATTGACGAGAAGCAATACCTTTACAGCATTATAAAAAATTAGGCATATTGATAAAATTCAATTATCAATGAGTATTTAACTGTATCAGTTAGTTCAGATCGTAAGATAATGTAATAGAAAATTGATAGTTATGTGCTAGAACTCCTGTCTTCAATGAAGAGCGTTCATTCAGATTCAATCTACTTGGTTTAAATCAATCTCTGCTGATATCAAAACTTTTTAAATTAAATGTATACTTAAGAGCTTTTCAAATAAAAGCAACAGCTAAGCACAATCAATTCATACCGAAATGGATAATCTTAAATGAATAGATAAAAAGGTAATTCAATCGATCTAAGAATATGTAAATACGCGTAAATTACCCATATTCAAACTTATGTTTTCTGGCTTATTCGAATCTTTTCATATATTTAAAAATCTCTCTGATCTATTTAAACCCATATCTAAGTCTATAACAATACTGTCGGTGTCTATTGATTCTCATACTAGTTTTTTTATGTTTGTTTATTGATATCTGTTTGTTATCATGCATCTTCGAATTTGTTTACAAATATATGTGATAAATACATGTTTCATGTGCCGCAGCAATAGTACTGCTATTAAGAAGCTATCCAACTAAATTCATACTTCTTGTTGTGAAGGAGTATATTCTAGCGTATTCATGCCTATTCTTAAGTATCAACACATACTCGTTTGCTTGTATAATGAATCTGGCTTTATCATTCATGATTAGCCATGCTGTAATATGGCTTTAAATGAAAGCGCAAAAGAAGCATCTAACAGAGTGAGATAATTTCGGTATTAGTGTGTAATAAAGTAATACATCTAGTGAACTTCTTCTCATTGTTGCAGCTTGTTTATCACTACTTCAAGAAAGTATTTTCGTAGGTAAGGTTAGGTTGAGTCAAAAATGCACCTCTGCTTATTGATTTAATAGTGTTAACGAACTCTTTTTTAGCGAGTGTAGTAATGGATTTAGTAAGCAGCCGTTTTTCAGAATTCGATTGAGTTCTCGTAATAATACAAGCTACTAATACGATTTCAATGTAGTAGTATCTTAACATAGATTCACAAGAATTTCGAAAGTTGTAATAGTTTTGATCTTGACTGTTGTTATGTATTGCATCCCTTCTTTGCTATATATCACACTTGAAAGTTGAATTCAATTCAATTTTCAAGTTTGCATTCCTGAACTCAATAGAAATGGTCACAGAAATCGTCCGAAAATGCCCTCATATTCTTGAATTTTTTCGAAGAGTAAGATTTTTCGCTTTTATGAAATCAGTTGTTGTCTTTGAATTGAATGACACATTGAATCTACATTTTCTCTCATTTACAACTACACTATACTGTGAGTTTATGGATCTTTTGACATACATGTAATCGGTGAATCACAGCTACACAACTAATGCGAAAGTATACTAAAAACTATACCTGGTGTTTTGTTGTGATATTTCGTTCCCAGAACAGAGCCAAGAATTGCTGCCAGGATGCATATTATCACCAATATGCACATTGGAATCAAAATTCTTTTCTGGACATACCGGCGGCGACCTGATATCCTATGAAAATTATCAACAAAAATTCAGTTAGTTGTATCAATTGAAAATCCATCAGGTTCATATGAAAACTATCTCAAAATCGATCGAAATTCATTCCGTTCAATCAAATTCATTAGATTTATTCTATGCAAAGCTACAACAAACAATGTTCGATCATGAATATTGGTAATCAAAACCTAACTCAAGGAATTGAATGATAAAGTTGGTTTGTTTACTAAGCCAAATATGTTTCAATCACTTAACTTGTTATGTTTTAGTTGCTGACCTGAAAACCTTCATGATTGCTTTCTCACTGTAACAGTTTATTTGGCTTTCAAATACTAAAGTATGGAGAACGCGACAAAAGTAGTTCGATTGTAGTAAATAAATGCAATTTTCTTCTCATTCTTCATGATTAGTTCTTCATTTCTTTTGTACTAGTTTTATTATTGTAACGTTAATAACTTTGAATTTTTTTTAAGGGTGCATCAATACCAAAGATAATCTTTAATAAAAACACCGTATAATTCTTTCTTGATGCAAAGAAATCTAAATTTTTGAGCCTTTGGGAGGATTCCTTGAACATCAGTGACTCGGAAATAGATTATCGGATAATCTGTTGGAAATCTTTTATGATATTGACTATGAATCTTGATTTTTGATTTCAGTTTCCAATTAAAATTGGGGACTTTATTAGTAAGCTATAAGCATGAAGCTTGAGTACATGAATAGATTCATACTACTGGTACAAAATCACTCATGTGGATGCTCATATTTTCTAAGTGCAGCATAGTATGATCTTCATATGAGCCTACAGATTCTCGATAAATGTACTTTATTAGATGAAGCAAGATGAGCTTACTCAATTTTTGGATAGAGGAGCGCATCTAAGAACAGACATATATCAATTCAAAATAAACTATTAGGAATGTTCAATTTACCTTCGAATGGAGGTTCCATTAGTGGTTCTTTCGGTCTCATTTGTTTTAAATGAATGATGTGCAGGTCAGGCGCTGGATTTAATAATGATTGTACTTCCATGAATGTTCCCGGCAACAGTAAAATTTCCTCCTCGTCATTAAAATATGAATGAGCGCGTATATTTCTGGCATTTAAAACTTCAATAGAAAATATGGTTCTCTCTCCTGTTGTACCCAAATAGAGATCATTTTCTAACACCGCTAATGATTTTGTAGTGGATGAAAAAGCCCACCATGTAATTCGAGCTCCTTTTGGAAATTCATTAGTAGTGTTCTTTCGCACACCACGCCATACGACTTGTGCTGTTGAACATGGTATTTTAACCAAAGCAGTAAGAAAAAGTTTAAGATATTTGAGCCATGGTTGTAATTCCTCTTGATTACCTTGTCTAAGAGCATAATTAAGATGGGAATAAAGACTTCCACCTGTAGTACGCCACTCTATTGTGTAGAGATATATCGAAGCTGATTCATCACGAGTGAGTTCATCGGGCGGGTTATCTGGAGTGTGTTCAAGAGCCATTGAAACATATGTTAGAATGTCGGGAATAATGGGTTTTAAGGATGTACATGCATCAGCAAGAGGTAGTATTGGCTCTTGAGCATAGCCAATGAAAGGACACGTCATTTCTCGATGATCGGCATCTTTCATTAGTAGACGCGCGTTTCTACGTCGAATTTCCAGATCAACGTTGTTCGTCATTCTATTGTACGGCCCACCGTTTTCGGACGTCTCATTATGTTTATCCATTTTGCTGAAAATAGTTTTGTTATCTGAAGCAAGAAAAATGCCGATAGCAGCAAATAGATGAATAGTTACTGAGAGACTATTTCTGAAATATAAAACCAATCCAGTACTATTGTGCTACACGCAAATATGATTAGTTGAATAGCGAAATGACAAAATGTAAGATCATTTTGTTCTGTGAGAAAAGCTTACTAAAAACTGTTAGTAGTAGAATACCTAGGCCAATGATTATCGATTTCAGAAAAAGCGGATTTCGCTGAAAATGTTCGGAAAGATTCGTAAAAATCATCTTATTCAGCAAAAAACTCTTACAACCAATGAAAATATAGAAGTAGAAATCTGAACCTATATGTTTTTCGGATTTATCTGATGACTTTAGGAATGTTGTTCACCGAACAAAACAAGAATCTTGTCGAAAATCACACTAAAAATCGAAACAGACTCAGTCTGAAAATAGTGTGCCTGTCCGCCGTCAAATTTTGAGGCTGTTTTGCCAGAACCAATCGATAGACGTCCACTGTAGTAGTTACAAATAGTTAAGACTTAGAAATCTACAGTGTGTAGTCAAAATTGTCTGTCAAATTTTCTAGTAACACATATGCCAATTTATGTATTCTTTGCATCAGAAATAGTTTACATTGACAGATGTCGACGGAATAAAATTTCTGAACATATATTCATAGTTCTATTTTAACACAAACAAATCTTAACATGTCTTCTCATACAAATCAGAACAAATTTTTTCATAGTCTGCTACTTTTAAGGTACTAGAAAGAAAATGATAACGCACTGGCATGTCTATCTGAAGAATATAAGCTCCCATCCTATCACTTCCATACCTGGCATCTCTATACATAGCTTCGATATGAATAAAATGTTGATAATTATTAGCAGAAAACAGTGTAAAGAAAAGTTAAAATTAAAGATGGAGATCATCAATAAATTACACGAACAAAACCTGAACTATCCGGTGATGCATCTTTTTGTGCTCTGCCTATGTCGAATATGAAAGGATGCTTCTCTGCTAAATGACAACAAACGGAAATTGGAACAAAAATATGTCACTGTCTTACAAGTACACACGACATTTAGGCTAGCCGTCAAATTCAATTGGATCCTTGTGGAAAGAACGTCTTCTTTGGTGTAATTACGATTCCATCCTTTACTTTTTTCGCTCGGACCAATTCTAAAACAGAGAAAATAGCAGAAAAAGTGTTCAGAACTGAAAAAAATACTGTTCCGCGAAGAGCATTCTTCCAAAGAACCGTACTAGACCAGAGTTTTACCAAGTCCGAATAGATAACGATTGAGAAAGAGCCAGAAACTCATTGTACTTGATTCTGTGATCACATAAAAGCATAAGAGAATCAATATCGATAATTCCGACCATCAGAAATATTGAGGAAATGAAAAACAATGTCAGGAAATACACCAGATAGTATTGTATTCCTAGAAAAAAACCAAAATGAAAAACCATAACGTATGTTCAAACAAGACATCAACTAACTACTATTGACTTGTGCCTTCTGAATGAGAAAGGAAGTATTTGTCTTTACTTTTAATCTGTAAGTACACAATGTTTGAATCTTCCGAACGGCAACAGAAGAGAGAAAAACCAAATATAATTATTTTGTGTTTTAAATAAAATATATGATATAGAATAGAGCACTTAGTGTTTTTCAAATTCTTTTCTTCATATATTTTTTACGAAGGTTGAATTGATATTTAACGTAAGTTAATGATCTTCTTTTATTTTGTTTTATTTTATTTAAATTAATAATTTATAATTCATCAAAAAAATAGTGGCGTTTCATGTCTCGATGAGATACTTCATCAGACAATCAATTTAAGACAAATGACATAAAAATGTAATAAGAACAAACAAACTAGACTTTTTTCTTTTTGGCTTTTCTTTTATATTAGTCATCCGCAGTGATATCGACAAATAAGACTATAAATAGTAATATCTAGATAGAGATTAAATCCTTTTCTATATCACTATCGATGACTAATATAAAAGAAAAGAAACATTTTATTTTTATGTCATTTATCTTAAATTGCTTGTCTAATGACATATCTCAGTGAGATACGAAACGACATTAATTTTTAATATATCATAAATTATTAATTCAAATAAAATAAAATAAAAAAACAGAATTAACTGATGTCAAATATCAAATATTATTCTTAGCTGCTCACATTTTTAAGATAATTACTGATCATAAAAAAAAAATATATATTGTCTTACACGTGCATTCGTGCTCAACAAATAAATACAAGAAGACATAACTTGTAAATGAATACATGAAAAATCACTTCGAGAATAATCTATAAATAATAACTTTTTAAAATAAAAAACACTGAAACAGATATTTTATTAATATATTCTATCAAAAATATCAACAAAATCAAAATAATAACCATTTTAACTTAATTTAACTCAATCAAAAAGTTAATTGGTATAAATGATTGATAGTTATACCTCGAACTAAAAATCGACTAGTTTTCGCTTCCATATTGGCTGCAATGTTTCAATGGATGTCTATATCGAATATAGATACAAATATAAATTGTTATATTTATTTATTTACATATTCACACATTTCTCCATGTAGCTCACTTTCTACTAATTTCTTTGCGAATGTTTGTGTCACTGCAGTGACATGTTGATGTTGTAGACAAAATCAGAATACGACTAGAGATAAATTCAGACAATCGAAAAAATTAAAAGTTGAATAGAATAACTGTCTTTTTTTATTCAGTAATGTCCTTTCATTTCGTTTAACAACTTATAAGAGAAAACGTTGTAATCTATTCACCGATATCGGTGCAAGTACCTCGTTTTGAATGACAGTTTGTCAAACAAAAAACTCTCATTTTTTTTGCATGCATATTATTTTGTAACGCACTTACCTTTACAGTTGTAAGTGTGACTAATTGTTGATGCATGTACATCAAGTTTACATGCTTCAATAAATGTTACATCGTTTAAATCAATAAGATGTTCAATTGGATATGAATTATTTAATTTTTACTATATTGACAAGCTAGTTTAAACGTAATTTTTTCATCTTTTTCAATTTTATCGATAATTAAACATGGTAAAAGTTTGGCATCCGTATTTGTTATCAATGCTTCATTTTCTTATTTGCTACATTCAAATAATGATTCGTGGCTGCTTTTCGTACAAGATCATGTTTCGTTTGTGATGATTCATCTGATGGTGGATGTAGTGATGAAATATCAATGAATGAATTTGCAACAGTATCATCAGATAATTGTGGAACAAGTCGAATAATATCATTCTCAATGACATCAGCATAATCATTATAATCATCTTTTTCATCATACATAATATCACCATTTGAATCAGCAACTGGTGTTGGTAAATTTTCTTCATCAACATTATCGTTTTCTTTATTAATTTTTGAAAAATCAGAATCAAAACGAGGTTCTTATCTGAGTATAACGCGATCTGGAGTTGTTTTAGTGATAATAGATAATCTAGTAATAATGCCATAAGCAATAGGTAATAAACTATCTGATCAATGTGAAGTTAAGAAATTAATGTTTCTCTAATTCTTGATAATAATGCCATTTGCCATTATTTATTTGGATGGGCGTTGCATACGAATCTGTCATTTTTTGATTCGATTGTAAGAACCACATCTACATTTATATTACGCACGATTAAATTTTTCTTCTTTTTTTTTTCAGTTCACGCTACTTTTAATAAACTATGTGATTGTCTGAATTTATTTCTAGTCAAAATTTTGCCTATTCAAAACTGAGATTCTACTTCTGATTGATGAGTGTCCCATCAATATTAGAATTCCAATTTTATCTAGGCAAATTTTTAATTTGTCTGAGTTCTAATTTTGCTTACAACATAGATGTGATCGGTGATGCATGTCTAATCATTACTCTAACGATTCGAATATTGAAACATGTTATATTTATTTGATTTTATCGTAAGAAGAACAGAAAGAAAAATATCAGTACGTTGCTAATAATAGTTTTTTTCTGTCGTTCTATCTAATACACTTGAGTGTAAATTTATGTTCTTTCTTTCTCTCGTAAATTATTCTTCTCTACCTTTCGATGAGATATTTAGACACATCGTTACATATTAGTCAAATGAAAAGGGATAAAACCCATATGGTTAAAAAAGAATCATGTATTAATTACATCTAACACTGAAATGATGTGATAATTGCTTATGACTCATTGGATATAACATTTTGTTTTTATGTTGTTTACTATTCTGTTGTACGAATTCAGACGCAATAGATGAATCATAAGACTCTGAAGTAAACTTTAAATTTTAATGCAGCTCGATTTCGATTTTATTTTTATAAAATAGATTATGTTAAGGCCACTATTCTATGACATCAACTTATCTGTTCTTAGATTATCTTTGCACAGAATAAGACGCTAGGCAAAAGATTCAAAATATTAACTATGAGCAAGATCAAATTTCTAGAGAATAATCCTTATGATATTAGGTAACAAACGACTGAATTTCATAAGTTACTACCTCTATAGTATTAATAAAATAAAGAACTATCCAATTGTGATAAATAATGTATTTTCTAGTTTAGATAACCTAACACTACTTTTTTTGATTACAATCTATGAAGACTTGTTTGCTTACTTTAATATGTTTATATATATATATATATATATACTTAGGACAATCCAAAAGTAGGGGCACTATTACTTTATTTCTGTATAACAAGCGTGAAAAAATTTTCTTTTTTTGATGTAGTGATAAAAAAAACTGTGCTCTATTTTTCTGTGCTATTTGATCACTCTTCAACTAGCATCAACACACCAAGATAAAATGTGTCGCATGTGTCGTGATTTATGACACAATGCATATTACATTAAAGTACGACATGAAGTGCTCGTTACGACACATTTTGCACGACACATGCGACACATTTTAAAAGCGTGGTTCGAACCTATGGTCCGGCGCATTTTTCATTTTTTTTCTGTAAAAGCGTACCATGACACTTTTTTCAATTTTATTTCATTAAATTGTTCCAATTCTGAAAACTCAAGCACGGCAGATCTTGCGATCTGTCTAGCCTGGAGTTGGCTCGGTTCTAAAATAGAGTTGTATTACGACTATCAGAATATATGGAAAGAAAAATTCCATAAAGCTTTATATAACTACGCAATTAAGGTATCTCCACCACACAATAATTTTGGTATGACTTAAATAATTTATGCACATTTTCATATAAATCATTCATTATACCAATAAATAAAGACTGCTCTTCAAATTGATGAATTATTATCTTCTATCGAAAGCTTTTTTTTAATATTTCTACTAGATTCTTTTGTATAGAAACATTAATTGTAAAAATTGTTTTCAACTAAAGATTTTATTTGTTATAGTAAAAAAAAATTGTTATGTTTATGTAACATATAAATGCATAATTATTTTTAAAATATGTTATAAATTGAAAAAAATGCATTGATTCGTTCAGATGCACCCTTTGATGATTGAGAAATATTCAGTAAGAAAATGTGAACTCAATGATATTTGTTTATGATGAAACTAAAAATATAAATTCTCTCTGTTTAATAATTAGTTAATCAATTTTCAGAGCTGAACAAGCCAAGTCAGATCTGACTTGAAAATTTTTTCAATGAATTGATTTGTGACTCGAAAAATCTTTGACTTACCTCACACTGATCAATTTTCTATTCTATTTTTTT